GCTGCGGACGCCATAACCCATGTCACCCTTTGCAGATTAAGTTATCGCATTGTTCCATGTCATCCGCGGCCATCCGCTCAGGCGTGTGTCTGGCCTTGGGCAGCCATTCTATCGCCAGTCTCATCCATCGGAGACACAGCAGAGCCTCACCATTCTGGCGAATATAAGAACGGGAGACACAGCAGAGCCTCACCATTCTGGCGAATATAAGAACGGGAGACAGAGCAGAGCCTCACCATTCTGGCGAATTGCCCGATGATGCTGGATGCAATTACCAGCGAAACGTCGTACTCAAATTGTAAATTGTTGTGGTTTCATGCTTCAACACACCGGTGGGCTAAAGCAGTGAACTATTTTTCTTTTGTCAACGTGACACTTTTTTACTGATTGGCCGTGTCGGGTGGTGGAGGGTTACGACACATTTATAAATAACGCGATCTAAACCCAAAAACGTTGATTATGTTATATCTCTGTTGATGGGTTCTGCCCAAGACCAATTCATGTGCCTCTGATTTAAGAAAAGGCTTTACCCTTTCTGGCAATAAAACAGGTGTTAAGGTGAAGGAAAGTTTTAGTGTTCGGTGTGAGGTGTTACGATGTTAAAACAGATGTCGAAACATCTTAACACAGCTGTTTTATTGCCAGCAAGGGTAAAACCTATATTCTTATATTTAAATATACTGGCAAGGGAGATCCCATGGTGCCTCTGATTTGTTTGTTCGCTGATCCGAGTGAGCCTTTTCCGAGCTTTCAACTGGCGCACCTTACCCACTATGAGGTGTGGATCAGAAGCATGGGCACTGACAAAAACAATGGAACAAAAGTGGATTTTTTAAAAAAAATCACGCAAAAGGGCCCGCACAGAAAGCACTTTAAAACAATAATTATCCAAATTGTATTGAATCTTATATTTTGTTAAACCCTCTTACAACCTGTGCATTATTATAAAATCCTTCTTTGGTGAACTTCGACAATAATTAACAGGTACATTAAAAACTGGTTTTCAACTGTCTGAGAAGGAAGAATGACGTTTCAGCTGCCCAGTCTTATTCAGGACATGGTTTACAAAGGCGTTATGCAATAGAATAGACACAAAACTACAGGCTTCCACACTCACAGTTGCAGCCGTAGAAATGGGCTTTCTCACAGAGCTGCTATGGAAACATCACACGCGGCGTCCTTCCTTTGGGGACTCAATGCCAAATCAGCTGTGGAATCAGGAAGCTCTTGCTTTTGTGAGAATGGAGGAGCACACAGACACACACTTTGCAGGAAGGGAATTGGGGAACCAGGAAGGCTGCAGTGACAAATATTTTGATAAGTCACGAGGGTGGGAATACACCCTCGTGACTTATTCCCCGCTGTGGTAGCTATGCACCCCTGTAATCCAGCACGTTTGGCTACGTACGGTGTGAAAGAAGTTCAACGTACATACATGGTTGGTGGATCGCACAAATGTTGTTAAGCTCCCTTTCCGTCGGTGTCGAGGTGCCATATCCTGGCTTGCCAGGAGAAGCCGGTAAATCAAAGTGCGGACTAATAAAATCCCTCCTCTGCGGGACGGAGTGTTGGCCCCTCGCACGCGCGGGTTTTCTCCGAGTGCTCCGGTTTCCTCCCAGGTGTAAACACACTCAGGGGCTGAAAACATCTGCATATAGAGAAGACTGCGGATCTTGGGCAAGTTTTGGTAGCGCTGGCTCTCACCGCCTTGCTGCCTTCCCGCGTGTCTGTGGTTCTTCAGAAATTGTGAGAATGCATGACGCTGTATAAAACGAAACATCTTCATGATTAGACGCCAACAAAAACGCTGCTCGCTCTGCTTTGGTGATCGAGGCTCGTCGAGGCTTCGCGCGAGATCTATTGGGACCGTGCTCGTGTGCCCATCGCGTACAGTGGTGACGCGCAAGTGAGAAAGGAACACGCTGTTCCACCTGAGGGCACAGGTTCAAGTTACAGGCGTTTAACGCTCATGTGTGGAGGAGTTAGTTCGTTTGGTCATAAAAATAATAACAATAAAACAATCAAAGCGTCCACTTGTTCAAACGACTGATGGGAGTCACTCTTCTCCATTGGTGATCCTGAGCCAGTGGTAGAAATGCCACAATCATATGGGTTGGGAATAGGTCTCTCTTCATAGGACAGGTACTATTGACTTCCCGTGAAAGGATACTCATTTTGTAGACCACGGAGGGATGATGAGCCGAGTTGACCCCTGACTAGGCTTTGAAAACGCAACGTTCGAATTGTCCACCAGATGTTCTGCTACAGCGTGACCCAGCAGAGAAAATAAATATTACGATTATTGGGCGTGTAACTGTAGATCAATTCATCGATGATTGTAAACTCGAATTTTGCCCTTGTGCTACGTGCATTGCATTTTGGGTAAGTGTGAAAATCGGTGACAGTATTTACAGACACTGGAAATAATTCACGAATTATATGGTGTAGTGTAATGTTATATGGCACAGGAGTAATGCAAAGGAAACGAAACTATACAAGCGAGACAGAAGGCAACACAAAAGGAGCTTGCAACATCTTCTTGGTTCTTTCGGTAAAGTCACGTAGAATGTAAATAATAAAATAATAAAAATAAAACATAATAAAATAATTCTCACGACGTTTCGGCCACAACGCAAGCAGCCGTCCTCAGGTGGAGAACAGGTCTGTCGGAAAGACAGCGTCTGAAGACTCTGTTCTCCACCTGAGGACGGCTGCTTGCGTTGTGGTCGAAACGTCGTGAGAATTATTTTATTATGTTTTATTTTTATTATTTTATTATTTCCATTCTACGTGACTTTACCGAAAGAACCGAGAAGATGAATCCCTGCAGTCACGAAAGCTTTAAATCAAAATTTGAGCTTGCAACATGTTTGATTTCAAACAATAGTTGAGTCTTAATTCGAATCGAGACATTTAATCGCGACATTAAATCGCTGGAGGCAGGGCGGTGAATTGTTCCAGGTGTACTATTTATAAACTCTATTCCATAAAAATACGAGATATCAGCCGTGGTAGTGTTTATCAATTACTTCTCACCACTCCCTTTCCTGTGCATTGTTGAAAGAGTGAGTAGCTCTGCTGTGGCACCACCGTACTGCATCGAAATCTAAAATTTCCAGGGGTCTCTTTGTTTTTAGCCAAGATTTTTCCCAGCCGGGTGGCAGATCTCTCGTTTTGTCAAGAAAGATATTCCCAAAGATATCTTAATCTCCGCTCCATAAACACATCCGATATTTTGCTTGATGACTAAAAACAACATCGGATAAAGCCACCTGTTCACCACGCCCGTGAGTCATGCCCTGTGCGTGTGAAGGACTAACAATCTTCAGCCAATCCTCCTGTTGCCAACGAGACGGGGAAAACCCAGGGCATTGCTCCGTAGAACCCGTTTGCCCCCCTCTTCCCAGAAACGTACGCGGACAAAGTCCAAGTCTTTCCAGCAAGGCAGCAACCATATACGTGCGTCGTCACAGGGGATAAACTACCAACAGGTGCACCACAGCAGCACATTTTCTTCACACTTGAGGGCATCTTGCAGGCCCCAGCATGAGATCTCACCTTTAGCCAGTGCTGGGTCTGAGCGAAAGTGTCACAAAACTTTTGAAACATGCCGTTCCATATTCACACATATGAGTTATATGAAAGACCCAGAGAGTATTGGTTATATGTTTTTGGAGTAAGTTGGACTTATTGGCATTCCAGACTTATGTGAAGCAGAAGTAACTGTTTCAATACGTAATACAGTGATCCCTCGTTTATCGCGGTTAATGGGGACCGGAACCCCTCGCGACAGGTGAAAATCCGCGAAGTAGGATTGGCCCCCTAGGAATTTCCGTATATGTGTGTGTGTACCAGAATGTTTAAAATATGTATATTTATACTATATATATATTACTTAAATCTATTTAATTATAAAACCTTAATATTATACATTCACTCTCTCTCTCTCATACGATACGTATTATGGTGTTCTACACTCACCAATGACAGTAGTATCTTGAGACTTGACTCCAGTAATGACGACGACGACGATGACAATGATGATGACAATGACGACGATGACAGACCTGTGCAGTTCGATGAATGTGATGATGAATGATGATGATGATGATGGTGTTACTGCACAGGTATAATAATGAGCCCTTTAAATCAGTTCGAAAAATCCGCGATGCACTGAGGCCGCGAAACTTGAACCGCGAAGTGGCGAGGGATCACTGTGTGCCAGTTTTGTCCTTCTGCGGGTCATCAGCAGAGCCAGGCTTGTTAAACAAACACTGCTAGTTTACCAGATGTTATTGGCAAGTGACCTCTACACCACAGAGGCACAGACCGAAAGCGAACAAATTGATGTCGCATAAAACCTCACTGAGCACTGTAATAGAGCATTACGGGTAGCAATTTAAATAGATCACCTTCCTATATCTCCACAAAAAATGTAATTTACT